CTTTGTTTAACAAGAACCTCATTTTGAATTGACAGTTATGATATTTTAATGATCAAATTCTTTTGTTTCTTTATTGTAAAACTGGTAAAAATAAAAGGTTAATGAGAAAAAAAAACAAAGAGTCCAAAAGCATATTCAACAAGTGATGTAAGGAAAAGTGGTTATCTGTGTACAGAAATTTGAAACTGGACTCATTTCTTACCATATAATAAATTTAAATCAAAATGGATCAAAGAGATAAACATTACAATAAAACCATTAAACCTACTGGAAAATAAAATAAGTAAAACACTTGTAGATGTAGGTGTTGTAAAGGATTTTCTAAGCAGACAATTGAACAAGAAATAACAAGAATTAACAAATGGGATTTTATCAGAGCAAAATGTTTCTGTACAGCAAAAACATCAGTCAGTACAGTGAAGAGATAGCCTATGTAAATTGAAAAAGAATTGTCAGTCACTCCTTAGACATTGGATTAACAAATAGGATATACAAAGAACTCAAAAATATTAAACCACCTAATCAAAGATCCAGTCATGAAGTGGACAAGATAAACAACCACTTCACAGAGGAATAAATACAAATGGTCAACAAATACATGAAAAATTGTTCAACATCTCTGGCCTTTAGAAAAATACAAATTAAAACAATACTAATATTCCATCTTCCTCTAGAAAAAAAAATGTCAATCATTAAAAAATCAAACAATAAAAAATTCTGGTGTGGCTGAAGTATAAAAGGACACTCTTGCATTGTTGGTGGGATTATACACTAGTACAACCATTATAGAAATAAGCAAGGAGAGTTCTCAAATAACTGAATTTAGAAATTACATACAACTCAGCAATCTCCTAGCAAGGTACCATCCCCAACAAGCTTAAGACATCATACCACAGCAATACATGCATCCTAATGTTTATAGCAGCATTACAACTTGTAACTGCTAAATCCCACAAATAGCCTGTAGACCCTTCAACAAATATATACATGTACTCATATATATTCACATATTCAGTATATTCACATATATATGAATACTACTGTGCTACAAACAATGACAGATTTGAGACATGTTTATATAAAAATAGATGTACCTTGAGAATATAATGTTGAGGGAAATAAACCAGACACACAAGTTTAAACACCAGACAGTATCTCTCATTTGAATAAATCAAAATACAAACAAAAAGAACAATAAAATATGGATAGAAGGGGCCTAGGAAACAGATCTCTTGCAATAGTGAAGTGGTCCAAGGGACAAAGTGACAAGGGTGAGAAGACGAGAAAGAGAAAATAAGTAGAAAAAAAGATATGCCACATACAGGAACCTAATAACCTCAGTTAATGTTACAATTATATGGTAAAAATGAAGATTAATATTATTAACAAGAATGAAAAATGAGAGGGGAATTGGAGGAAGAAGAAGGGGGGAATTTTAAAGAGAAACAAATTGTGCTATGTATGTGTAACCATTCCGCAAGATGATAATAAATTGTATGTCTTGCAACCATGTTCTAATAAAATAAAAAATGTACAAAATAAAACAATGCTTATTATCAGCCAAACCACTAAGGATTTTTCAACCTGGCCATTTTAGGGATGTATGAAACTAACCTCTCCTCTTCAAATCCTTTTGTGTATTTAGCACAGCAACATTCTAGTGACATACCTTATTTATGTAAAACTGAGCAAAAGCCAAGATGAAGTTATTTATACCACGGAGTATCTTCCGTCTGGAGGAGCTCTGGCATTGGTAGTACCAAACACATAACAGCCCACCAAAATTTGTATTAACCAATTATTATCTCAACACACCCAGGAAAACTATAATCAGAGATCTTGTATCTAACAATTCCATCTCTTGGCTTAGTAAAAACACAGTGATTGCTGCATGACATATATTTCACTGGCAATCATTCTTCATAATTGCCTGTAGGGTTCATTGCATGCAGATTTCTTGGCCTCAACTCCAAAGTTTCTGTTTACATCCAACAGATAAGCTTTCTTCAGATGTAGACAATGAAGACAAAGTCCAGAATACAATCAGTCTATAGGCTTGTTTTCTAATAATAATATCCTTGTTTTATTAATTAATCTAACTAAAGAAATTACAAGATTTATTCAATGAAAATTACAGTACTCTGAAAAAAGAGATCGTAGAGGATTTCAGATTATGGAAAGATATTCCCTGCTCCTGGGTAGGAAGAACAAATATTATGAAGATGGTCATACTCCCAAAATTGTTATACAGATGTAATCCCTATCAAAATACTACCAACATACCTCACAGACCTAGAGAAATTATTCCTAAAATTTATTTGGAACCAGAATAAAACCTAGAATAGCAAAAAGAATCCTGGGCAACAAAAGCACACAGGAGGCATTACAATTCCTAACTTGAAATCATGCTACAAAGTTACTGTGATAAAATCAGCATGGTATTGGCAAAAAATAGACCTGAGTGTCAATGGAATAGATTATACGATGCAGGTGCAACTATAAAAACATTCAGCCATCTTATCTTTGATAAAGGAGCCAAACATGCTTACTGGAAGAAAGATAGTCTCTTTACCAAATGATGCTGGAAAAACTGGCTCTCTAACTGCGAAAAACTAAAACTTGTCCCAGGTCTATCACCATACACTAAAGTCAAAATGGATTAAAGATCTAAACATTAAAACAGAAACTCTAAATCTCCTGGAAGAGAACGTTCTCCTGGAAGGAGGAACTCTTGAAGACATAGGGGTAGGCAAACAGTTCATGAACAAAAAATAAGCTGCATGGGAAATACTGGAAAGAATTAACAACTTCTTATTGAGGAGTTTTTTCATGTCATAAGAAATTACCAACAAAGTGAAAAGACAACCCACAAATTTGGAAAAAATCTTCACCAATAAGCACTCAGGTAAAGGTCTTCTCTCTAGCAATTATAAAGAACAAAGAAACATTAGGGCCCCGAAATTTAAAGACCAAATCCAAAAATGGGCATCTGAGATGAAAACACATTTCTCAGAAGAATAAATAGAAGAAGCAAATAAATACATGAAAAAATGCTCCACATCACTAGCCATCTGTGAAATGCAAATTAAAACAACACCAAGATACCATCTCACCCCAGAAAGAATGGCTATCATAAAGAAGTCAACCAACAACAAATGTTGGAGAGGCTGTGGGGAAAAAGGAACCCTTCTCCACTGATGGTGGGAATGCAGACTGGTGCAACCATTATGGAAATCAGTGTGGAGATTCATCAGAAAATTAGGACTGGAAAGCCCATTCAAGCCATCTATCCCTCTTCTGGAATTTTCCCAAAAGAAATGAAAACATCATATCATAGTGATATATGTGTGTCTATGTGTATAGCAGCAAAATTTGTGACAGCCAAATCTTGGAAACAACCAAATTGCCTGTCACCTGAAGAATGGATGAAAAAGAATGATTTGTTCTAATGGTGTTTGTAAATAGGATCACAAGTCCACTTCTTGTACAGCAATTAACCACTAAGAAGAATATATGCAG